GAAATTCACCCACCCAGGGGCCCATCTCTCTCTCTCTCACACAGACACACACACACACACAGACACACACAGTGAAATTCACCCACCCAGGGGCCCCTAAGAGTTGCTGTGTCCTTTGCAAGGACTTCACAAAGGGAGGAAAACAGAGGCAAACTTGCTGCCCGCCTGAGAAAGGCTAGAGGGAGTGGAGCTGCAGGATTGCCAGAGAAAAGGACCCAGAGGAGGGTCTGAGGTGGGAAAGCAACAGGAAGACTGTGAGAAAGAAGAGCAGGACACCAAAAGCTCAGCAAGGGCCAGCGGCCTGTCCCTCCACCCGACATCAAGGACTTGCTGGGTGCCCCCATGTCAGCTGCTGCCCCCACCTTCCTGTAATAAACTCACATATTCACACTCACACACCACTCACACACGCTCACACATACACATGCTCACACTCACACCACTCAGATTCTCACACATACACTCATGCTCACACACACACCACACAAACATTCTCACACACACACACACAACACACAAACACATAAACACACACCCACACTCATACACACACACACTCATACACACACACACTTTCACACGTAGGGAGCAGCACATATTTGACCAAAGTACAGCAGTGACAGCGAGTGCATCCTCTGCACACAGCCAGGGAGGCAGCCCCACCCAGTCGTTACCAAGATCTTTAATGTGTTCTTCGACTCACCTTGCACTAAAGAAATACGAGAATCCTCGTTCAAATCACCTATTCTCTGTAGTTAAACCCCTGGGAGGATGTGGGAGAAACGGTGTTCTGTATCTGGGACCCATATCTCTCCCCATTACGCCCCCCTCGGCCCCCATCTCTCGAATACACAGCTTCAGCGGGAGGTGCCTCTCTGGGGCTTGGTGATCTGGGCTGGGTGTGTTCAGGCCTCGGTGAGGCTCTCCGGCTGGGCCACCCAGGCTGCTGCGACTGAACACGGGGCTCAGTGTCACTGACCCGACCCCACCTCCCACTCCTGGCTTTGTTGTTGCCAGCTGGTCCACACTGGCTAAGCCACCAGCATCAGTGCCTTGGGTAACAGCTTCTGGGAGAGAAGCCTCAGACTAAACGCGATGGAAAACACATTCTAGGAAGTCTTCTCACCCTGACCCACAGCGCCAACAGCAAGTTTTTGATGGACCCCACCCCAGAATGGAAAATCTCAGTCTTAAGAGCTAACACTCAAATGTCAGGCACTGTCCTGAGGACTTGATGCATACTGACTTATCTAAAGCTAATAGAAACCTCATGAGGTAGGGACTATTGCTATCAGCCCCATTTTACAGATAAACAAACTGAGGCGCAGAGAAGTTAACTAACCTGCCCAGGAGCACACCACCAATAAGTGGGTTCAAATTCAGGCAGAGTCTGGACTCCACCGTCACACAAAACTGCCCCTTCTTCATCATGTTTCCATAGAAAGTGACGACACTGACTGAGCTGGGCCTCCCTCCTGCCAGAAGCCGCTCTGGCCAGCCTCTAAGGCCCTTGAAGCAGGCTGTGAAACACGCCACGGAGACGCCTCTACATGTGACACAAACATAAAAGCACCTGCTGTGGAAGTTGCGGGACTGTTAGGACCCCATGGCCGGAAGCATGACATATCAGCACAGAAAGAGCAGCTCCTTTGAGGATTTGGAGAATTCCTTTGTGACCACCCTGGAGAAATCTGGCCCAAGGCCTCCGCACCTCACCCCTGCCCCAAGCAGAGCTCAAGTGAGGCCTAGACACTGGAGCTCCGGCAGTGATGGGCCAGTGATCAGAAGGGCAACCTCAGCGAGGGCATCCTCTCGGCTCCGGAATTTACCTGCCCCTCCCAGAGTGGACTCTCCTCCGTCCCTGGCCTACCCCACTGCAAACCTCCCCCTCGCTGCATGGAGACAGGCAGAGACAGGCCAGGGCCACGAGAAGGACCGCGCTGACTTACTTGAAGAAGTCCTCCTTGCAGTAGACGCTCCCAGCCCTGGAGAAGCACCTGTCCGCCAGCTGCATCTGGCAGTCTGCACACTTGAGGCAGGAGCTGTGCCAGTGTCTGTCCAGGACCTTCAGGATGAACTTGTCCAGGATGTGCTGGTTGCAGCCAGCGCACTGGGGGATCTCTGTGAGGAAGAGAAGACAGAGGCACTGTGAGCCTTCCACTTTGCCCCGCTAACAGGCCCTGGGCGGGCGCCTTCCCTTTCTGCTGGTGGTGGAAACAGACATGGCCCAAAGCACAGGGCTGTTGCATAGAGTTCCGAGGGTTATACACTGCACACAAAGGTGTGTGGTCAAGGGACAAGGCGGGACTGAAAGCTAACCCTTGCTTTGCTGGCCAGGCTGTGCATTCAGGCTTGGAGTGACTGGTCCAGAGGAGTCACCTGCTTCTAAGGGCACCACAAGGCTAGTGGCAGCAGCTAACCCATTCGCACCACTGCAGTCCCACAGCCAGCAGACCAGGAAGCCCCAGCAACAACGACCTCTGTTTCCACGGCATTTTCATGAGTGATTGGAAGCTCTGCTAAAAACACCAGTCCCCAAAGTCACACCTGCACTGGAAGGCCATCTGGCCTGAAAAGCAAATGATAAAAACAGTGTGGGGGAGGGGTGGGCAGCGATCGAGGTCCAGGCCTGAGGGTGCTCTTGCAGAGAAAATCTCAATATTTTAATGAACTGCGACCAATACCATAGATTGGCTGGATCAATACCTCATCCTAATGCGCCTTCTTGAGCTGCAGATAGGAAAGCTAGAAACTGCTTTTCCAGATGCCCTAGTGGCCCAGGTTCTGAAGATGATTGAGTCTTCCAATCAGACGCACTTGGGAGAGACTTGAATTCAGAACTGAGCTAAATGTCGGGACAGCCGAGGGGCAGGCTCCCATCGTGCTGGTGTGGGTATGCAGAGGCGATGAAGTGCCATGTTGGGTGTTGTACTGTCCTGATCGGTCACAGCGGAGGCAATGAAACACTGGGGGCTGACAGTTATCCTGGAAGCTCCACCCAGCTGGCTCCACTGAGCTGAAAGTCACCTGCCACCTGATGATTAATCGCTTTTCACTTAAATAGTGAAAGTGGATTCTGTCATCTGCAATCAAACCCTAACCACTGCCCCATCCAGTTCCTGTCCTGGGTGACTTCCTATCTGAGGTCTGTTTCTCTGCCTTCCCATCTTTCCAAGGGATTGCTTGGGCATCTGACAGTATTTTGAGTCACTGACTGTTTCAAAATCTACAAAATGGTCAGTCTTCACGGTTGAATAAACAAACACTGCTAAGATCTCGAGCCATTTTCCCCCTGTGCTTTTCAAAAAAAAAGAAGGTAACAAATCGACAAGTATTAAGAATGAAAAGATAAAAGTGTAACCGTCTGGCCTCCTAGAGTATCCTCCTGATACAGCACTCCTGAGGCTGGCAACCCCAGGGTTTCCCACGCCTATTATAGAAGACACCTTTGAGTGGCCGGGTGCAGTGGCTCACGCCTGTAATCCTAGCATTTTGGGAGGCCGAGGTGGGTGGATCACCTGAGGTCAGGAGTTCAAGACCAGGCTGGCTATCATGGTGAAACTCCATCTTTAAAAAAAAAAAAAAAAAGACACCTTTGCTTGTTGTTTGTCTAAACACACTGCCTAGCACGGTGCCTGGCACACAAGGGTAACACCACAGATATTTATCGCTAAATAATAAATTGATCAAATCCTGTCTGAGAAGCTCACCTTGAAACAGTTTTTCACTACTTTCTCCTGTACACTCCAAAATGTCAACAGCAGTAAAACCAAATCTCTCAAGAATCATACATGTTTTTTTGTTTTTGAGATGGAGTCTCGCTCTGTTGCCCAGGCTGGAGTACAGTGGCACAATCTTGGCTCACTGCAGCCTCTGTCTCCCAGGTTCAAGCCATTCTCCTGCCTCAGCCTCCTGAGTAGCTGGGATTACAGGTGCGCACCCCCATGCCTGGCTAACTTTTGTAGTTTTAGTAGAGACGGGATTTCACCATGTTGGCCAGGCTGGTCTCAAACTCCTGACTTCAGATAATCTGCCCTCCTCAGCCTCCCAAAGTGCTGGGATTACAGGCATGAGCCACCATGCCCAGCTTCATACATGTTTTTGATTCATCTCATGTATGTTGGTTGTGATATAAAAGTGTTTACAAAGGAATTAGCCTCAATGTACTAACAACAATTTTAAACATACTTTTAAGACATTTGTACTTAAAACCTCTAAATAGGCTACTGGGACAATCACTAAATGCCATCACTAGCCCTGTACACAGAAGTGCCAACCTTGGGCCCAATGAAACCCCAGCCCCAGCCTATTCCCTTCATGGCCCCAGCACCACCAGTATTTGCGTGGAAGTCAGACTTGGTGTACATGCCTTACCTGTTGACCCCTTTCTCAGACCAAAATACCCATGAAAACGATCAAGTGTCCCACCTGCTAACTGTCCCAGTATATACAGGATTCTTTTTCTTCCCGTCTCCAGTTTTCCTCCTTGAGAAATACATTGTCCAGTCAATCAGTACTTGCCCAGGAGCTCCAATTTGCCCAGCAAAGTGCTGAGCACATGACGGCCCCGGGGGTCTCCACCCAGTGAGGGGTGGGCATGACAGGGTCGGAGTATGGACTCTGGAGCTCAGCTGCCTGGGTTTGGATCCTGGCTCTGCTTTTTAAACCCAAATGACTCAGCCTCTCTCTGCCTCAGTTTCCTCACCTCTAAAAGGAGGTGACGATGGCAACAGTGGCTGTAGGATTTTTATGAAGAGCAAATGGATCGACACATGTACAATTCTTAGGGCAGGCCCCAGTATACAGTAGGTGCTCAAGACAGGCCTGCTATTAGTAGGAGATAACTGCCACGCCCATGGAAAGGCAGGCTGGGCACCAGGTTCATGGGCATTTTCTCATCGAGCCCTCGCAAGAATCCCTGCAGAGATGTCACGACTCTCCCAGGGAGGCTGAGTGGCCTCCTAACACAGCAACTGTGCCACCGGCTCGGGGCCACGCCTGCCTGCCCCAGGCGGTCCTCACTCAGCCACACCCCCAGCCTCTCTCCAGAGGCCATCGGGGGCTGGCTGGCATCCCTGGGGGGTCCTGGAAGGTCTTGGTGAGGAGGTGACCCATGAGCCCACCAGTCTATGAGGGTTGGATAGCCAGGAATTTCTTTTGTGTGACACCCCTCGTCTCAAGCAGGAAAAAATAGGGGGCAACTCAGATCAGGAGGGTTATGAAAGGCAAGGGGACACAGGTTTCTCCAGCATAAGCCGAGTTCAGTGCCCCTGAGTCTGCTGGGCAGCAGAAAGGCTGAAGGAGGAAGCACTGAGCAAGACTGCCCTGGCCTCCTCTTGCAGGGGAGAGGAGGGGAGAGCCAACCAGGAAGCCCTCCCGGCTCAGGGAAGCGGGTTAAGGACAAACGGCATGCAGAGCCAGCAGGAACGTGTGAACGAGGCCTGCCGTGTCCCACAGGGCAGCACCGTGTGCCCACAGAGCCCCGATGGTGGGGCACAGCCATGGCGGGAGGCTGCTAGGCACAGCTGCACCTCGGCTCTGGGAGTCAGGTCAGGGGCTTCTTTGTGTGAGAAGAATTTCCAGGAGCTGGACCCCAGCCCTGGGGTCGGGTGGGGGGAGCATTAACCCTTTGAGAATCCAGATGAAGCACCATCCTTGCTGGCCCTTGGGCATGCAGGCCGAGCGCTAGCCCAGCTCCCCACACCCTCCTCGGCCCCTGGGCAAGAGGGGCCGCCGATTCCTACCTAATTGTTGTTTGGCCTGCCCCAGAAGAGAGATTTGGCTATATTTCTCCTCCCAGCCACAAATGCATGGGATGAGGGTGAGGATGTATGCCCATAAAATTTATCTCAAGCACGGTATCTAGTGGGAGCCTTAATCTGATGAGTATTCAAGAGAGAATACATTAGGGCTAATGTATGCAGGGAACAGTGGGCAGGGGAGTTTTAGAGGCTTGTAAGCAGAGACAGCATCACGATGAGGAACAACACTAAAAGCAGACAGACATGCAGCTTCAGCCTCAAGCTTTGAGGAGAGGCTCAGTCTGGGCTGCCAAATCTAGAGGTCCTCATCAAACCAGGGCCCTCCGGCTTGGCAAAAATGGAAGGGTCCTACCAAGGGTGCCCTTTAAGTTAAAAATTAAAACCCTTTTCTATTCCACTGTAGATTTTGACAGGGGGATTAAACAAAGATAATTTGGAAATGTTTTAAAAGATCCCCAATATACCAATCACAGTAGTAAAACCAGACATCAGAAGCCTGTTATGAGCCATGTGAGGGCTTGAGTGTGTATTACCTCAGTGAACCACTCTCAGTGAGGAAGGAATTATCATCCCATTTTACAGATGAGGAAACTGAGCCTTTGTGAGATCAGGTGATGTGCCCAAGGCCCCACAGTCGAGGAGCCAGAATTTCAACTAATTGCCTGCGCTGCTGCTTTCCTGAAAATGGACTAACCCAGTCGGACAGCTCAAGGGGCCTGAGCCATCCCCTTATTTGGCTTGAGCCTGTCGTTTTTTAGATAGGAAATGGTGGCAGAGAGAGAGTCTCAACATGATCCCAGGTACAGTGACAAGAGACTACGACCCCACTGGCCTCTTGAGCTCCCTAACGACTGGGCAAATGGAAATGTTTGAGGCACAGACTGAGATGACACAGGCATTTAGTGTGCATGTGTCCTATGGGACGGACACCTCCTGTCCAGGGCAGGGCAGGAAGCAGCAGCCTCTGTCCACGATCTTCTCCCCCAGCTACAAGGCACCTGCTTGCTGATGGCATCTGTCAAGTTCAGACCCATCCCTGCTGTGAGGGTGTGGTGACCTGTGAATTCAGACCCCACAGTCCAGGCAACGTGGCCCCCATATAATTACATAGATTAGTAAAAAACATAAACTACCTGGAAATTTTTCAAAGAGCAACAGCATAAGCCTTTCAATGAAACCTCTAATAATTTAATTTTCACAGTTTAGAAAGACTGGACAGGACAGAGTTTATCTAGGTTTCCCACAAGAAATAAAGTTCTGGTGCATGAACTGGACCTCCTCGCCCTGAGGGAGGAGACATCGAGGAAGACTGCCTTGGCCTCCTCTTGCAGGGGAGGGGAGGGGAGAACTCCTCACCTG